GCATAGAGATATCAAGAAAACTTTACTATGAATGCACTGCATGTGATGGATATGAGCCTCATTACATTTCTCCTGCTTCGGGTCAGACGGCTAACTTGCCTTTTTGTTGTCAGAAAAGGAAAAATTATCGACAACCGACTCCTGAGGAATCTTATTGGTTTCCCAAAGAAGAGCAGACAGCTGAAAATGTAAAAATGCAAATATCAAATTATTATTGACATAATGATTCTTTACAGGTACCTGTCACTATTAGTGAAAAGGAAATGGCAGTAATATCGAAGAGAGTTGGTGACAAAGCTGATACTCTTGCTGCATGCATGGAAATGCTTCTGAAGTTTAAGGCTCTCCAGCAAAGTCCAGCTCATAGTAATAATCCAATGCTTCATTTGCTTTATGAGTGGAAAATTGGTGGTGGATATAGAGAAGACTTGATTGAAGCTCTTAAATGTGCTGATCTTCATCAGCTAGCTGATCAGTAAGTGTTTGTACAATTTGATTGTTATTATTCTATTAATAGAGTTAAAGTCTCCGACTATAGACCTGCCAGTGGTGTAAGTTTGACTGTATGATTCATTTTAAAAAAAGATATTAATGTAGTTTGCTAATAAGAATATATTGTTATTTATAATTTTAGCATTCTATAAAATTGAATTAACAATTGTAACAGACGCTCCAACTATCTGTTAACCAAACTTTATTCTTAATCAACACGAAACTCACAACTAAAACACAACTAACACAACACACTTATATAGATATTATAAATGTCCAGAAGGTTCTATAACATACAAGAATACTTTACATGATTGTTCTAGAATACACTTGAATAAACACATAATATATAATTACAATAGTACACAGAGAGTTCCGGATCCATCTAGAAACAACTTCTTACATTTCCTCCCTTCCCCTCTGGCACGAAGTGCTCTTCCTCTCCAATCTAGAAAGTGCATCTGCATTTGCATTTGCTACCCCTTTCCGATGTTGTATAGTGAAATTATATGGTTGCAGAATCAAACTCCATCTAGTCAATCTTGCATTCTTCTCTTTAAACTTGTGTAGCCATTGAAGAGCTCTATGATCCGTTTGAATAATAAAAGATCTCCCTATGAGATATGCACTGAAATGCTTGATGGCTAGAATAATAGCTAAGCACTCTTTTTCGACTGTCGAGTATGCTTGTTCTCTCGGGAGTAGCTTTTTACTAAAATAAGCAACTGGTCCCTCATCTAAATTCTCCTCTCC